GCTGATCTGATCTAGTGCCAGTGATTCATGGAATAATTTAGTTTGGAGGGGACCTCCAGGGTGCATGTAATCCAAACTCTTGCTGAGAGTAGGTCCAACAAGACCAGGCTGCTGAGGGTCTTGTTAAGTTTTGAATGTGTCCAAGGATGGAGAACCCAACCTCTCTCAATAATGTGTGCTGCTATTTCACCATCCTGACAGTGAATTTTTTTTCTGTATATATGAACAGAATTTCCCATGTTCCAGCTTGTCTGTTGACTGTTATGCTGTCACTGTGCATTTCTGAGAGAAGTCTGACTCTAGCTTCTCTATACCCTCCCTTTAAACCTTAGAGAGTTGTCGACAGCAATAAAACGTCCCCTTAGTGTTGTTTTCTTAAGGCTGAACAAACCCAGTTCTCTTAGCTGTTGTCCTTTTATGTCTTGCAGCAGCCCCCTAACTATCTTGGTAGCCTTCTGCTGAACGTGCTCCAGGATGTCAATGTCCATCCTCTACTGGGGAGCCCCAAATGGGGCACAGTGCTCTAAATGTAGTCTCATAAGCACAGAATAGAGGGTAAGAATCTCCTCCCTGTACCTGATGGCTACAGGTTTGATAATACGGCCCAGAATATGGTTGACCTTGGTTGCCACAAGGGCACATTGCTGACTTGTGCACAACTTGAGTTGGATTGTGGCAGTCCCAGCTTTCTGAGAGAAGTAGCTTGAATAAGCTCTTTCTAAAACTTGGCAATCTCTGTCCTAGGCTGTAGAGAGGTGTTGTCTAAAAGTAAATTTCAGAGGCACTCTTACTGCTACACCTTCTTGAGGTGACACTGTCAGGCCTTCAGGGATGAATGCTGTACCCTGAGCTTTTAAGTAGCACGAGTATTGTTCTATGTTCCTGTTGTGTTTGGATTTTTGCAATTCCTTGCACTTGTGAATGCCAGAGAACCTGAAAGCTGTGGAAAAAAATTACTTCCTTCTGGAACAAGCCTGTCCAATATTGCATTTTTCATATCTGATGTGGAAAATTGTCTCACTTAATGTGAATAGGATGAAGTTCATTGAGGCTTTTATAGATAAGCTGATTAAAAGTTATACTGCTCTGTAAGGAAACAGCATCTCTGTGGCTTGATGATAGTGCATCCATGTATGCAATAATTTTCTCTTATTTTGTTAAGCTGTTTCTATATCACAAAGTTAACAGCAGAAAAAGGATTATTAGGTGATTTAGTTCATCTTCTGCCAGATGAGCAATGTTCACTGCTGTGCTGTTGTTCTGAGCTGCATCCAGGTTAGTTTTGAATGAATAGCAGACCATGTTTAGAAGATCATGGTCTTGATACTTTAAAGCTACTTGAGTCTTTACCCCCCACTGATTTTTGCTAGGAATTACATATCTGTACTTTTATAAAAATCTGGCATGGAGAAAATTACTCTCATATACTAACTTTGTATTCTGATACATTGCAGTTTATTTAACCTATCCCATCTACTCAAGGAGAAATGCAAAAGTGGAAAAAAGCCAAAGCTATCATGATTATAATTATTTGAACCAGGAGATCTTTCAGTGTAGCAGTCCTTGACTTGAAAAACTTTAGCTGTGCTATGTCCATGTGAGATACCTGTGTAAGGAAATAAGGGGTATCACCTTACTCCACAAATGAACTGTCTGTAGCACAGAAAGGAAAATAATCTTCAAGAAGTTACAGTTTGACTGCCTGTATGGTGAAATGGGTATGGGCATAACCTTAACGACAGTCTTGCACCAGCACAAGATCTAGCACAGCTGGGTTGTATGCCTGTGATTGCTGCTTATGGGACAGACTGACTGTGTTTCCCTTTCGTTAGCTCTTGTAAAATTACCATAAAGACCCTCCTTCAGTCTTCTCTGTATGTTTGCTTTTGGGAATCGGAGTATGACAGGATTCACATTTGGCAGGGTCATTCTGTCAGATCAAAAGGGTGCAGCTGGGAAGATAAAGGTCAAAGGAAATGATCAAATATGTAAATTTAGTTAGGGCAATTTGAGTGCTAGCTGATTGTGAGGGAGAGAAGGTCATTGGTATTGCTTGACTCTTGCCTTAGTTGGGGTCGTATCAGTTTGTCTGATTTCAAAAGCATTTGCAGGACAGGGAATTAAACTGTGTGGAGCAGGAGCACAAATAGAAAGAATATTTTAAAAGCAGAGAGAGTAGCAAAGGTCAGCTTGACTCTGCACCTAAATTTGGCAGCTGGGTGCAGAGCTCGGTCTGTCAGACATCTGAAGAACTCATTTGTTTGCAGAGTTACCTGAGCTTTTGATTGACAGTGTTACCTGATGCGTTCCTGTGCTGTTCTGTGTTCACTTTCAATGCACAGCATGCTATTTTTACACTTTTCAACACAGATCTAGTGTTCTGTGGTTTTATAATAAGAGGCTAATGGAAGTTTTAAATAAAAAAAAAAGCAAGAAAAATCTGCTTAACAAGACAAAAAAGGCATTATATGGTATTTCTAACTTGTCTTCAGTTGAGAATTCACTATGAAAATTTCTGAAGTCTGGAATGTATCTGGTGGATCGTAGATGGTAAAGACTTTTATCAATGTTTATACATATCTTTTAAAGGTCAAGAAATGTCATAAGAAAAGACTGAAAGCACTTCATGTAAATCGTTCCTGGAACATATCCAAGTGGCTTTTATCTCCTGGCTTCGATCTTCTTTTTTTTTAAAAAAAAAAAGCTGTAGGCAGGAAAGCCACTTTTTCTCCACTTAAGAACAACAGGAATGTGGGGAGAGGGAGAAATCAGGGGAACGAAAAAGGACTTGGTGACACCTGTCAGTTTAGTTTTATGTGGAATACATTTGCCTTTATGCTAAAGGGATTCTGTTCGTCTTTGACTAGAGACTACAAGATGACACCAACCAGTTGACTAGCTTGAGGATGTTACCAGGAATGACCAAACCATGTTTTGGTGCCTCTGAGATTCATTGTAATATTGGGTAATTGAAAACAAAAGGCCTGGTGGTGTTCGAAACATTCATGCTTGGAATAAAATATGTGGGGCTGACAAATTCATATGTGAGTTAGAGAGGAGGGGAAAAACAGGGAGTGCAGCAACAGATTAATTTATCAAGTGAAGTTAGTGGA